GGACTGGGAGGGGATTGGGAAGGACTGGGATGGACTAGGAGGGAACTGGGATGGGACTGGGAAAGACTGGGAGGGGATTGGAAGGGACTGGGAGGGGATTGGGAAGGACTGGGAGGGACTGGAATGGACTGTGATGGGAATGGGATTGGGATGGACTGGGATGGGATTGGGAGGGACTGGAATGGACTGGGATGGAACTGGGATGGACTGTGATGGGATAATGGCATAGACTGGGAAGGGATTGGGAGGGACTGGGATGGAATTGGGATGGACGGGGATAGACTGGGAGGGACTGGGATACACGAGGAGAGACTGGGATGGGACTGGGATACACTGGGAAGGTATTGGAAGGGGACTGGGATGAACTGGGATGGACTGGGATTAACTGGGATGGGATTGGAAGGGACTGGGATATACTGGGAAGGGACTCGGAGGGCCTGGGATGGGATAATGGGATACTGGGATTAACTGGGAGGGACTGGGAGGGGATTAGTATAGACTGGGAGGGACTGGAATGGGATACTGGGAGGAACTGGGATAGGATTGGGATAGACTGGGAGGGGATTGGGATGGACTGGGAGAGACTGGGATGGGATTGGGACTGACTGTAATATACTGGGATGGGATTGGGATAGACTGGGTTATACTGGGAGAGGATTAGGATAGACTGCAATATACTGGGAGGGACTGGGATGGCACTGGGATTTACTGGGATGTAAAGAAAGGAACAGCTCGGCCATGTTGTCATACCTGAGAAGAACTGGGATGAACTGGGATATACTGGGAGGGACTGGGATGGACTGCGAGAGGATAATGGGATACTGGGATTAACTGGGAGGGACTGGGATGAGATTGGGATGGACTGGGAGTGACTGGGATGAGATTGGAGGAACTGGAATATACTGGGATGGGACTGGGATAGACTGGAACGGCATTAAAATGGACTGGGATTAACTGGGAGAGACTGGGATGAACTGGAACAAACTGGGATTAAACCCCAAAACCCCTCCATTCCCATCCCAAAATTCCCCAAAATTCCCGGAATTTCTGCACTCACTTCTCCCGTTCCCGGGCGTTCTTGTAGAGCTTCACCTCCTGTGGGAAGAACAGACACGAAATTCCCAAAAATTCCCAAATATTCCCCAAAATTCCAGGGGTCATTCCCGAACATTTCCGCCAATTCCCGGCAATTTTCGGCCACTTCCGGACATCTTGGGCCGCTTCAGGATATTTCCGGGTATCTTCGGCCATTTCCGGAATTCTTTGGCCATTTCCGAACATTTTCGGACATTTCCGAACGTTCCCGACTCTCACTCACCTCATAAAGCTCCGGTTTATTCCCGGGCGCTGCCGTAGGAGGAAGGAAAGGGTTAAAAGGCGGGTGGGGGAATACCGGGAATCCCATCCCGGGAATTCCGGGATTATCCCAACGATTCCATCACGGGAATTCTCACCGCCCATCCCGGCCGGGCCCGCGATGCCGTGGAACATCCCCGAGGGAGAGTGGAGGGCTCTGGGCCCTCTCCTCGGCCACGATAATCACGATAATCCCGATAATTCCGATCCCGATGATCCCGGTCCGAGCTCGGTAGCTCCGCGGCGCTTCCGCTTCTTTTCATACAAACACCCACACGCCCCGCCCCTTCCGGCAAATCTCGGCATTCCATTGGCTGAACTGTGCGGCCTCTCTGTTTTCTCCTCGCTGATTGGCTCTTGGAGTAGTCAATCAATTCGGTTGCCAAGCAACGCCGCCACGTTCTTCCCCGCTATGTCCGCACACTCTGAGGGCCGCACTGCCTTTTGCCGTACAACCCTGTCTTCCCACAATCCCTTTCTCCTCCACGTCCCTCCGCTTCCGGCTTTATCGGCACTCAATTGGCTCACCCCTTCCATTGCTGTGTTTTCTTCTCGCTGATTGGCTGCTAGAACTGTCAATCAGAGCGGTTGCCAAGCGACGCTGTTGTTGAATCCCGTCATGGCGGCGGCCCTGTAGGAGTTGACAGCGCTGCTGTCGCGGTGGCGGGCGAGACCTCTCAGGCAGTTGGTAGCGGTCCTGTCGGTGTTTCGTGGCAAAATTAATCCGTAGCCGAATTGGAGCCGTGTCTGTGGGGCAGTAGGGCGTTTTTCCGTGCAACTTCACCGTCCCACAATCCCTTTCACCTTTAGGCCCTCCATTTCCGCCAGCACGCCCTCATCCTATTGGCTTATCCGCCCCACATCCCTGTATCCGAGGCGCTGATTGGCTGTCACCCCCATCAATCTCTCCGTTGCTACGCAACGCCACCATGGCGGCGGACACGAAGAAGGCCGCGGAGATGGAGGAAGCGAACAACGACGCCGCGGCGGCCGTGGCGCTGTCGGAACTCACCGCGCTGCTCTCCTCGTCCTCCCCCGCCGCTCCCGCGGCAGCCGAGGCCGCTTTGTCGCTGTCCGGCAGCGCTTCAGGCCGGGCATTGCTGGCCGCAAACCCCGCGGCCTTGTCGGCCTTGGCCTCCATGGCCGCCTCGGCCTCACCTGGAGCCCAGAGCGCCTTGGCCGCGCTGGTGA